CCATACATGGGTTTTTCTTAACATCAGCATTAATTCTATTGACGTTGTTTGTGTAACGATCTAGCTATATTATCAGATCCGACAGACATATCGTATGGTTGTGCGGTATTATTCTGAAACAAATTCTTAGGTCATTACACTCTTGTTGATTTGTCTAATCGGATGATTCTGTTTATTGTAATTTTTACTCATTTGAAAAAGTCGAGCTTAAAGTTAAAATATTCAGGCGATGTAACGACCATGTTTGCTAAAGAGGCTCAGATGTGACCTAATATTAGTCGAACACTCTAGACTACGTTCTCCCATTTGGCCTTGGCTGAGATATCCAGACCATGCAAGGAAAGTCTTATTTGTCATTGTTCCGTGCGTTTCAGTATGTGTTGACATGTCTTAACTCCCAACACACCCCCTTTACTGGGATGGACAACACACTGCATTTACAAATATTTATTGGCACAAACATGACAATTAATGAATTGCAATGGCCAATCATATATATATGATTTGGTCATATAAGTATATTAAGGTACTCCGATCCACAACCAGAAAGGATAACTCTTTAATTCATATTTTGATTTAAAAAGTCTCGAAATGAAGCTTGAAAATTAACATTTTTCATGCTAAAATTTTCATTTCTATTTTTCAATGTGCTTCAGGGTTCTTTAAAGCATTCAGAAAGTTTTTTGAAGTCAATTTTTTTATATCCTTTATAAATGTTTTAAAATTGCATATTTAAAGAAATTGAGGTTCATTTAAATGTAGCCATAGATACCAATGTTTATTAACATGAAATGAAATTAAAAGTGATATATGATGTTTTGGAATTATAGGAAATTCTTTGTACACAATGCACTGTAAAATGACCAAAGTAAATAGAAGAAATTAAAGTACCTTATATGTATAAAAATTGCGCAATTCCTTCAAAAGTCTGGATATCTGATTTTTTTGCCCCCGTAAGCGAAGTTTCGGGGGGTACTCCAGTGTATAGTTTTGTCATGTCTGTCTGTCTGTTTGTCCACAAAAACTTTAACCTTGCCTATAACTTTTGATTTAGTGGAGCTATGACTTTCATATTCAGCATGTATATTCCTTGTGACAAGACCTTTCTTTGGGTATCACCAAAATTGACCTTTTTACCTTGACATTGAAGTTTGAACCACTTTTACACAAAATTCCAAACTTTACTTTAGCCATATCTTTTGGACAGTACATACCAGGACTTTTATATTTCATATATGTATTCTTTGTAGAAAGACCTTTCATTGAATACCAACAACTTTGGCCTTTTGACCTTGACCTTGAAGATTTCCTTACCTATGAAAAAACATTAATCTAACCTTAACCATAACTTTTGAATGCCAATGGCTAGTGCTTTCATACTTCACAAATGTAATCCGTGTGAAAAGGTCCTATAGTAGATACCAAGAACTTTGACCCTGACCTTGGAGTTTGACCTACTTAAAAAAAAAACTTTTACCATAACTTTTAAAAGGTTAGGGCTAGTATTTTTAGCTCACCTGAGCCGAAGGCTCAAGTGAGCTTTTCTGATCAAAATTTGTCCGTTGTCTGTCGTTGTCGTAGTCGTTGTCGTTGTCGTTGTCGTCGTCGTTAACTTTTCACATTTTCATCTTCTTCTCAACAACCACTAGGCCAATTTTAACCAAACTTATCACAAAGTATCCTTGGGTGAAGGGGAATCAAGTTTGTTCAAATGAAGGGCCACGCCCTTTTCCAAGGGGAGATAATTATGAATTAGTGAAAAATTAATGGCATTTTAAAAAAAATCTTCTCCTCAAGAACCACTGGGCCAAAAAAGGTGAAACTCATTTGGAATCATCTTCAGGTAGTGTAGATTCAAGTTTGTTCAAATCATAACCCCCGGGGCAAGGGTTGGGCCAAAATGGCCGACCCAAGTTTTACATAGGAATATATAGGAAAAATCTGTAAAAATCTTTTTCTCAAGAACCACCGGGCCAGGAAAGTTGAAACTCATGTGGAATTATCCTCAGGTAGTGTAGATTCAAGTTTCTTCAAATGATGACCCCCGGGGCTAAGGTGGGGCCAAAATGGCCGCCCCAAGTTTTACATAGGATTATATAGGAAAAATCTTTAAAAATCTTCTCCAGAACCACTGGGGCAGGAAAGATGTATCTCATGTGGAATCATCCTCAGTGTAGATTCAAGTTTGTTCAAATGATGACCGATGGGGCTAAGGTGGGGCCAAAATGGCCGACCCAAGTTTTGCATAGGAATATATTCGAAAAAATCTTTAAAAATTATCTTCTCCAGAACCACTGGGCCAGGAAAGATGAAATTCATGTTGAATCATCCTCAGGTAGTGTAGATTCAAGTTTGTTTAAATCATGACCCCTGGGGCTAGGGTGGGGCCAAAATGGCCCACCCAAGTTTTACATAGGGATATATAGGGAAACCTTTTTAAATCTTCTTTTCAAGTACTTCAAAGCTATGATTAGTGTTATTTATATGGAATCATCCTCGGGTAGTGTAGATTCTAATTTTTTCAAATGATGAATGCCCTGGGGGGGGGGGGGGTAAATTCTTGTAAACTCTTGTCATACTTAATATATTTAATCCTTGTGACAAGACCTTTCATTTAATATCAAGAACTTGGCATTTTGGCCTTGATCTTGGAGTTTGACCTACTTTTAAAATTTTTAACCTTGGCCTTAACTTTTGAAGGGTTAGAGCAAGGGCTTCCATATTTCACTTACGTATTCTTTGTGGCAAGACCTTTCATTGGATACCATTTACCTTCACCTTTTGGATTTTTTGTGTTAAAGTAAGTCAGACTCCATGGTTGAGGTCAAAATGTCAAATTTGGTGGTACCCAAAGAAATGTCTTGTCACAAGGAATACACATGTGTATTATGAAAGTCATAGCTCCACTAAATCAAAAGTTATGGGTTTAGGTTAAGGTTTTTGCGGACCAACAGACAATCAGACGGACGGACACGACAAAAATCATACACCCCGAGATTTTGTTAATGGGGGCATTATTATTTATAATAATTGATTTCTATTTGATTTCTCTGTGATATAATAACTCTTTGAAAGTTCGTTTATTTCATTTCTTGATCATTCTTCCGGCATGTAAATTTCGCCAAGCGATACGTCTGTTACAACGCACTTTGAAAAATTACGCACTTTGAAAATTTTTTTTTCAAAATGCGTTAAAATTTGGGACCATTATGATATTAACGCACTTTGAAAAAAAAATGTAAAGATTGATCAATATTCCTTCAAATAATCGGTATGATAAAAAACAGATTCTGGTTTGATAACGCGTAAGCGGGTTATGTAAATTTTTTCTGCAATAGCTGCGACCGTTCATTCCAGTAATAACAAACAAAGAAAGCATTTTATACTTAATACCTAACCCGCGTAAGCGGGTTATGTAAATTTTTTCTGCAATAGCTGCGACCGTTCATTCCAGTAATAACAAACAAAGAAAGCATTTTATTGTTTATATTTATATCTGTTTAAATAATCATTTAAAGTTTGAATAAAAAGGTTAATAATTGTATAAATGATGCAAATGTCTTTTAATTATACGTTTCATTGATGGAACAGCCACTGATCAAGAAATCTGTACTGGCGACATGCCCAATGTAGTTCATGCAGTGATGAACGTAATGGGTTTTCTTAAGAAATAAAGGAGAAATTATTCAGTGAATGTAAATATAAAAATATAATATCCAATCAAACTGACGGTCTTCATAAACACAGAGTACGCACGTGTTCGACCAATACATGTGTTATGGAAAAGTTGGACACTCCAGTAAACATGATAAATTCATAATATGTACAAATTCGTCGCAATATGTGTTTTATAGAAGCTGGAACTCTCTAAATCTCTCTTATAACTTTAAAAATCTCCATTTCAGTGAAACTCATGTTGCTTTTCGCAAAGAGTGGGGTGAACTAAAACATTACGACGAATATTTCTTGTACGTTTCTTAAAAAAAAGGGCGTGTCATTGTGTAATAATTGACGTTCAAAACATGACTCAGAACGTTTCATCCAAACGGAAAATTTTACCACTTCAATGCGCTTCATTGTAGTAAAAGCATAGATATATCCAAATTTGTTGAAAATGGAATGGTTTATGGATTAGTCCATGAGTTTGTGTAGACTGTTGGTTTATGTATTTTAAATGTTACTGCAATGCTCACAAATCATAAGATGGCTCTAAAATTTTAAACAGTGCTTTTATTTTTAAAATATACTGATGTCTTAAGAGAGGTCAATTGTACCTAAATCTGTTGCTACATTCAAGTAGTTTTACACGTATGATTTAGAAAACAAGCTAAGTCGATACACATGTATCTTCTCTACATAGCTCTATTGAGCGTGATAACTCTTTGAAAGTTAGAGGATTGATTTCTTAATAATTCTGCAGGAATGTAAATTAGGCAGGTTGATAGGTCAGAAGCTAAGAAGGTTTAATAATATGCATGCAAATCTCGTGCGCATCTGCCTCCTTGTCTGAGGTTAAGGAGGCCAAATATGCATGTTAATCTCGTGCGGCTTTCTCTGTTTTTATCATCAGTGGGCGACGAGTATTGAAATTGCCATGGGAGTCCTCTTGTTATTTAAACCTAAGTCTACATTTTTAAAGTCTAAATCTACAATTTTATTTCACAATGAAATGGAAATATAAGGAATCACTGTCTAGTTAGTATAGTATGCCAGGGACATCAACGATAGTGGGAAACATGGGATAATTTATGCATAATGGGCTTCGCCTGTTACGCAAATTATCCCATGTTTCCCACTATCGTTGATGCCCTGGCATACTATACTAACTAGACAGTGATTCCTTAAATCTACATTGTACATACTTTTTTTTTTAATTTTAATTATGTAGATTCTTAGTATATTGCACAGAAATATGCATTTTTGAAACTTAATACAATAACATAAAGTTTGAAAAAATATATTTATTGACTTTGATTCGCAAATACTGATAAATTGTCACAGATAAGCAAAACCACAAAAAATAATAACCGGGTATGAATACATGTATACATATGTAAAATAAAGATATCAAAACATTATAACACCGATTTCCTACATTAAAGATTTATTCTTCAGAGGTATCAGTTTATTACTGTACCCCCTTTTATTTTCTGTTCAATTTTTATTTTGAACTTTTGTAATTTCTAAAAGTCTTCTAAAACAAGATAAGAATTGTTTAATTAAAAATAATTTGTTTATCAAGGACGTCTTGAACTCACTATCAATTCAAAAGAGAAATTCAGATAAATAATTATGATTTCTTTGCTATAATTTCTTATGGTTTGAAAATAAACTTACATACTCATCTTTATCATGAATGATATACATGCAAATGTATGCATCAGATTTAACTGCAATGATGAAAATAATAATTAATTTTCTGATTGAAGAATGAGAAGATAAAGATAAATACGTATTACTTGGCAAATTTGGTATATGTTACATATAGACCAAAAACTGAGACATATTTTTGGAAATGAAAATTTGAAAGGATTTCATGTTTTGTATAATGGGTCAAAGAGGGACATCACATGTATTTTTTTCCTAAGAAAGAGGTGCTTTAACATCACATATTTTGTAATATGGAAAAAATATGTTTCCTATCATGGGAAAGAGGTGCATGTCCCCTTTCCTGGGAAATTGGTGGGATATCAAGTTTCCTTGGATAGGGAAGAGGTGTTTCCTCATATGGGATATTGATAGTTGCATGAACACAAATCCTACAGTACTATAAAGAAGCAATCAAATTGCACAAAAGAAAATATAAAAGGTATAAAAAAGATTATGCATATAAAAATATTGATGATTCAATTAAATCAAACACAGCAAACATTATTCTTATAACATTAAAATTGAATGTCTAAACACAGTACTGATTTAAAAACTTCTATAAAAATTAATATATATTATATATAAAGGTGCAACAAGACTTGGCAGTTTTAAAACCTATATTGCTTAAGGTTTCGTCAAAGGTCAACATGTTTAAAAAATTTTTTTACAATAGCTCCAAAACTATGTGTGGTATAAAGTCAAAACCTTTACAGTTTATAAATATATCATTGATTAATAGATAGAAAGTATCACTTGATAACAAATATTTTTAAAAAGATATTTTTTGAGAAAATCCTGTCAAAAAATGTGCATATTTAAAGAAAAATGCACCTGCTTAATTCTATCTTTTTTGTGAAAACCATCCTTGCAGAAATAATATATGTTTATCATTGAAGGGCAAGTAGGACGTGAATGGTCCCTGAAAGGCTGTTAATGAAAGCATGACAGGTATAAAGACAAGACCCCTATAGAATCCGCCATTTGCAATGTACTTTCACTTTCAAGTCTTAACATTTGGACAAAATAAACAGGGGAAACAACTTTCCTGAGGCTATCCAAGTCCAACTTGCCCTTCATTGATAAACATATTTTGTTTCTGCAATAATGGTTTTCACTAAGAGCGTGGAATTAATTAGGTGTATTTTTTGAAAATATATGCATTTTTAAGAAGAATTTTTCTCAATTCTTACTTTTTCCAAGTATTTTTTTTATCAAGTGATACTTTCTCTCTGTTAATCAATGAAAAGTTTATAAACTGTAAAAGTTTTTTAACTTCATACTTCACATAGTTTTGGGGCTATTGTAAAAATAAATTTTTGGACATGTTGACCTTTGACAAAACCTTAAAGCGATAAAACTAAATGAACTGTCCTGCAGTTTTGTGTGTCAAAATTTATCCTCAGGTGAGTAGAGCTACATGACAACACAGACTTTGGATTTCTTGTCTTTTTCCTCCTGTGTTCTTCTCTCAAATAAGTCCTCCTGTCTCTGGAGTCTCTCCTCCAACCTTTTGATTTCTTTCTGGTGTTTCTGATGAGAAAATTCAATCATTAAAAAAATGGATAGTGGTTGACATGAATATATTTCATGTTCAAATCCCTTTCTGTATCTTTATACAATTACCATTTTAGAAAATAGACTAGGAAAGGAGATGAACAAGACAGTATGTATGATGTGGGTTGGGGGATCAAAAGAAAGGGAAGTAATCAGGACAAGAAGGGGAGATAACTGCTTATTTCTATCAAAAATTAAAGTTTGCAATATTTCCTATATATACCATATAGCAGGTTTTCTTGGCAGGTGTAAAATTTGACGTTTTACCTGCTCAAAGGTATGCCAATAATTTTGGCGTAATTTATTTTAGGGATGCAGGGTTTCAGCTCTTTGCAGATGGACACTAAGAAGAGTACTGACTACTTTGGCGATAAAAAAATTAGCGGACTATCATCAAAATGCCAAAATAAGCACCCTGCTAAAATACCCGGTAACCCGCTATATGGAAGTTCACTGGCACTTTATTCTATAATAATAGCATTTTTTTTTTAAATCACATGTACTATAATATTATTATACTATGGGTTAGAAAATATTACTACAGTAAAACTAGGTTATAACAAAGTCACTGGGACCTATAAAATTACTTTGCTCCCTCTAAGACTATCAGACTCACCTAATGTAACCACTCTTGCACCTCTAAGACTATCAGACTCACCTGATGTAACCACTCTTGCACCTCTAAGACTATCAGACTCACCTAATGTAACCACTCTTTCACCTCTAGGACTATCAGACTCACCTGATATGACCACTCTTTCACCTCTAGGACTGTCAGACTCACATGATATGACCACTCTTTCACCTCTAGGACTGTCAGACTCACCTGATGTGACCACTCTTTCACCTCTAGGACTGTCAGACTCACCTGATGTGACCACTCTTGCACCTCTAGGACTGTCAGACTCACCTGATGTGACCACTCTTGCACCTCTAGGACTGTCAGTGTCTGTACCCCTCCATCCCTCCTCATAAACACCCCATGAGGAGAATGATACAGTCTGTCTATATCTCCTGTGCCGTGGACTATAATTTCTATGACTTTGTAATCCTCTGTAATTTTCAAAATTATCGAAATTTAGTTCTGTTACTTACTGCATGCATACGAGCATTTTTAAATTCAAGAAAAAAATCTGGGACCATTTAATGGATCAAGCATTATTATCTTTGCACTCTAAGATATGGATATTTCAACAATTCAATGTTTACTTAATAACCCAGTACATGTGATTTGCAATGATAATTTACTGATTTTTTTTCATGATAATTTTATAAAAATTTCTCTGTCTAAAATATAAAGAAATAAAGTATATGTGGCTTAATATCTAAACCAATGAAAGCCACAGAAAGTTATCTTTATAAAGGCAATGCCATACCTTTGGGGACTCCTAATTTATAAAATACAGGTGTGAACTTGACTTGATAGATGTTTGGGAACACAGGAGGATTGATGGTTTTTATTGCCTCATCAATGTCCAGTCTTACTTCATCCTCCCGGGCCTGTGGACAAGGAATTCCCTCAACACACCCTAAAAGGTGGAAAATGTGTGGATAACACCATGAGTCACACAATCATGGACTGTACATGTACATTCATATCTACACAGTATATTTTGGACATCTTCCTTACATTTTCTTTCCTCTTGACAGCATACATGTATATACACTTTTATATTCTAAATTTTTTCCTTTAATTTAAAATGTACTGACCCCAAGATGCATTTCCTTTAAATTTCATTCAAGAAATGCTCTCATACACTAAGCTTCTTTAAAATCATATGCATGAAACTTAAATAAGAAAATCTTTTTATATTTACCATTATCATTTACCCCTAGATACAAAGTACCCTCCTCTCCGCTGTTCAGAAAAGCACACGCATACTTTGATACATGTTTTTTCAAGACATTTTTAACATATTCTCCACTGCCTTTTTTGAATTCCTTATTCCTAGTTTCATTGCCAAGCTGCTCTCCATCTAAATATATCCCTTGAGCAGGCTGGTCAACTTTCTTTGTGAAGCCTAAAAAGTTCTTTCCACTTTTTAAGGAGGGTAGAGTTGAGTGATTACTGTCTTGTGGCTTATCTTTAGCTAAGTCCTCTGGGTAATATTCATCAAACTGCTCTGTAATATCAGGGGATTCATTACCCCTTGGCTTTCTCTTCTTTCTCCTCGTTTTCTTGCTTTTGTGTTTTGTTTCCCGTTTGTAGTCGATAAATAAAGGCTGGGATCCTTCACAAATGGACGTAAAATTAAAGCGAGTGTGTCTTCTGGACTCCCATGTCTCCAGCTGATCAAGGGCAAATTCTGCTTGATGTTCCTCATGACAGTTTACAAAGGCATACCAGGAATCTCTCCCATGGTTCGTGTGTATAAAGATATCCTCACTGGTAACTCCGATGCCTAAGTAGTTTCTGAATAGATTTAGGATGTTATCTTTGAGGTTCTTCAGGCCTATGTCACTGCGGAGATTCCCTAGGTAGAGCACTCTATAGTTGACTGATTCCATGGTATATGACTGATGATTTCACTGTTATCATCACAGATTCCCTAAAACTATAAGTGAGAGATCCATGCTGCATAACTGAGGAAGCATACCTAGTATTTATGAGGAATTATTTATCACACCAAAAAATATTCTTCATATAATTATACTATATACATTTACATTTGTATGCAGTTGTAAAACTCAATACGTGAGTTTTACACATCTTTGAACCCAGTGATATGTTCCCCCTCTTTAAGTTCAGGAAATGCTTTTATGGCATGTTCCAAATAAATAGTGGGACACAAGTCCGACAGTATCTTTATGTTGGATGCCAAATGTCATAGGTGGGAGAAAAAAAACCTGGTGCAATTTAATTTCTTTGTGAGCTGCCTAGAAGGATGGAAGATTTAATATTGTAAAATATGTTCCCAGAAGTTTATACCCTGAAAAATCCACATAATGGTAATAAAGTCAATAAAAACTTTGCAAATTAAAATAAAATTTAATCTTATATCCTCTGATATAATTTGAATTAATTTTTTAAAAAAAAAATTAAATATGATATTTTCCCCTATCTTAATCGAATTTTGCCTTTTTTCAGATGGAAAGGCCCAGGCTCTTATTTTCAACCAAGAAACATAGCCTATGTATAAGTCAGTCACAATTTCTATTAGTGAACACTGTACATATGACGTACGTTTTCTTTTTTATTTCTTGTCATTCCAATTTTAAAACGATTTTATTTATTTAATACACTATTACAGGAACAATGGTTTTAACGGTATAGTTTTAAAACTGTTACTAGAAATCAACAAAGGAACAAACTCACCACTTGAAAAACAGAGAAAGGTTTTTTCATGCTTCATGCATTGTAAACAAGGAAGTCCAATGTAAACATTGCAGGTGCGCGGTGAATAAAATTGTGGCAATATTGAAAAATCAGTAACTTCATAAATATTATATGCATATATAAATATAATTCATGCAAACGTTTTATTTTTGTGACTTTTATTTCATACAATTCCGTTAGTTAAAAAGAAGAACGAAAATGCCCTTGCACGACCCAGTCCAAGTACGATATATCTTACATCTGTCAGAGCGGAAGTGGATTTTGAACTGACAGCTGTCTTAGGTTTGACACGTAGATTTTTGTGATTTTGGAGCAATATTTTCCTTGATGAACGCTTGATTTCCTTTTTAATACAAGATTTTGGTATACCCAAAGATACACCTTCAATGGAGTCCTTATATACCAACACAAACAAACTTATTCAGGAGGTACAAAGCGATCTAGGGAAGTTGGCCAGGTTTACAGATAAAGATGGGGTCCATCTTTTTGAGAATGAAATTCAAGCTAAAATTGACATCATTGTCAGCAACTGTGAGCGGCTTACCATTCTAGTCAACAAGGAACCCCCCACAAGGAGAGCTAATGCCAAACTGAGAGCCGACCAGCTAAAGTATGACTGTCAACACATCCAGGCTGGACTTAGACAACTCCAACAGAAAAGGTAAAACTCCTGTTTCTGTTCATTTTTCATTTCAAAACAAAGCATGGTAAATATTTCTTTAAAAATTACAAGCAATTATTTAAACAATTTTACAATATTTAACAAATATTTAGATAAATCAAATATGTGGATTTATTTAATTGCTCGGATACATTTATCAACAACTCAGAAAAACTTCTTTTTTTTTATACATCTTTGATCACGTTTATTATACAGGGTTCGAAATTAAGTTTTTTTAGCACTAGTCCGCACGGACTAGTGACTTCTAGCTTCCACTAGTCCGCAAACTATTCCACTAATCCGCCCTATAGTATGTAAAAAGAATAACAAATCTTAAAATTTTATCAATAAGAATTATTCAATGAAATATGTGTCCACACATCAGTTGGAAGCATGTGGTGAAAGAAAGAGGGTTTTCAACTTTCAGAAGTCTCCTCATAGTCACGTCTTTGTGTATTGATCACAATGTAGAAAACGCTTTATCTCAGTTGCGTTTCTTGTTTATTTTCAAACGATCCTAAGAGACTCGGAAATAAAATTAATAAAATGTGAACAGAATCAAGACATATCCGGATTTGCACTAGTCCATGCGGACTAGTACCTTATAAAGTCTGCTAATCCGACACAATTTTTACTAGTCTCGGACTTACGGACATGAGTTAATTTCGAACCCTGTTATATATGAATATTTAAAACAACATATACCAATTATTATATGAATTTCTACTCAACGACAATATTGTCGGTGAATTTTCCATTCGGCGAATTTGCACGCGTCGGTGAATTTCACTTTTGTCGGTGACCTGCCTGTCGGTGAGTTGTCTGGCACCAAAATATTTCATAAAAAATTACAAGCAATTATTTAAACTAAGCGCTGTTTCATTAGGATTATTTAATACATTTCTCCAACTCATTTTACCTAGGCTTATAATCCGTAGTTTTCAAGCCTGAGATGTTTTGCCATTTCTATATTTAATATTTCATCCTTCTTTTTCTACAAGGCATATGTTGGAGCAACAAGAACTAGACAGAGAGGAGTTGATGTCAAGGACCTTTACAGCAAATGACCAAGACACCTCGATAGAAATAGACCATGCTGTTCAGCATCATGAGAGACTAGCATTCTCAAACAAGGAAGTGGACAACATGATTTTGTCAGGTCATGGAGTTCTTGAAAACCTGCGGTCTCAACGCCTGACTCTGAAAGGGGCACAAAGAAAAATTCTGGATTTAGCCAATACACTGGGACTGTCAAATACGGTGATGAGACTTATAGAGAGGAGAACTTACCAGGATAAATTCATATTATATGGTGGAATGATCTTGACATTGATTATCATGTTTCTCATTTGGAAATATTTTTCATGATTAAAATTGGTTAATTGCTTATTGTTGTATTTTGTGTTTATGTGATCTAATGATTATATTGACACTGGCATACATGCCAACTTTTGAAAATTCCCATGGGGGATTTAGCGCATGACGACAATTTTCAAAGCTTTAAATTCGCGACATTTTGTAGTGAAATTAAATGATTATGAAATGATTTTTGTTTTTAAATTTATAATATTGATATCACTTACCAATACAACTTAAGGATTAATTTAACACAAAAAATGATGTTTTAATTTCTTTCCAAAATTGAAATGTTTTTTCTAAAATAGGTGCCTCTCTCACTAAAGAAGGGATATTTAATTACATATGTAAACAACATAATTTTTCTACCAGGACACATATTTTATTTAGTGAAAAATTGAAAATTGTACAACTTTTAAATCATTTTTTTTTCAAAGGCTAAAAATATATATGAGGTCTTGATACTGTAAAGTCCTGTTTCGGGAAATATTTTTGAGATTTTTTATTTATATTTCAATTAATTAGAAATTCTAATAAGATACTAAATTTACAGAAATTTATACCACCTATCCAAAAGAGAATTATTTTTTTACAGTCATGAAATTTGTCAGGTTTGATGGTGCCATGTGGGTATTTTCTTAAGTCATGCACATACCTAACATACAATATTACTATTGGGAGAAGGGAGGGAAAAGAAATTCTAATTGACATACACTTGATTGTTTCATCTTAATTTTTTCATAATATTTTAACTGCCAAACTTTACAATATTTTTCATTATAGGTAGATAAAATCAGCAGCTATGCTTTGTAGTTTTCTACTTTCGCTTTCAAAAAAAAAAAAAAAAAAACGATCTCTTTGGATTCCGATTTTATGGTTTGACTAGTGTTTTATTGTCTTTAATTTATGTTTTTAATAAAAGAACTAACAATTATCACGTTAATCTATGCGTTTCACCTTGCATACCCCTTAAAACTGACAAGGTAATCCCTAATTGCCATAAGCTACTTGTACCTGGACAACTGCGTGCGTTCATGCGTGAAGTGATTTCCTGTGACACCTGGTTGAATAAACAATGAAACTTGTCTGTGTGCATTGAATAAACAAGTCTGACATTGTTATCCCGATTGTCAAATTTCAGCGGTAGGAAACTTTTAAAATCGGAAATTTTGGTGATTTTTTTTTCAAATCGGGAAATTGGGGCAATTTTTCTCTCACGATCGGGAAAGCGGGATGAAAGGGTAAAATCAGGAGGATCCCGCCTAAATCGGGAAAGATTGCATGTATGCACTGGTGATCTGCATTTTAAAATTATTTTTATAATTATTTGTAGTCTAATTGACTGATTTTTGTGATTAGGAAGTGTAACGATCTTACCACATATAGAGCTGCCAACCCTTACGATTTTGGCGTAGCCTAAGGCGTACGAAATCAGGGTCTAAAATACGCCTTACGATTTCTCTATATATTTTTCCGATTTCAGTTTTTCTCCTTCAAAGTTTACAATACCCTTATTTTCATAGCTAGCAGTCTATAGTTTTTACTATTATAATAACTTCATAATTCTTACAACGCTTGCTTGTACCTTCGTATCGGTTTTAAAGACCGATCACATTCATAATATCAATGTTTTAAAGTAAACAAAATGGAAACAAGCCTCAGAGTGCATGTTCATTTACAAAACATCTTCAGCGGCAGGGGGCCTAGGTGGTCTCTTAAGCTTATACCCCGCCTTACTATTTGTCATTTCAGAATGTTGGCAGCTCTGCACATACCTCGGTACTAATAGCCAAAGTTCAAAAGCCTCTAATATCCCATATGGAAAAAAAGGGCAAACAAACTACTATAACAAATTACTAACAAACCACTATGGTTTGAAAGTAGTTTAATAGTATAGCAAATCACATGCAAATGAGCTAACAAACTATACTCTAACAAACTACTATCAAACCACTCTAACAAACTACTATCAAACCACTCTAACAAACTACTATCAAACTACTCTAACAAACTACTATCAAACCACTCTAACAAACTACTATCAAACCACTCTAACAAACTACTATCAAACCACTCAACAAACTACTATCAAACCACTCTAACAAACTACTAACAAATCACTGGTAACAAATCCCTCAGCAAAACACTTAAGATTTGAATTTTCCTTATAACCTTTACAAATCCACAAGTCTTTGAAAACACCTAAAACAGTCACATTTCGAAATATTCCAAAAGTCTTGTTTCAGAGTATTTTAAAATCCAGGATTCACAAGTTAAGCCAATGCAAGTGCAACATTCCAACATGTTCCCTTCTGTTTAGGAGATGCAATTCCAAGCCAATGTCCGTGCATGTACTTATCACATATTCTCCTTCATGTCAAGCACATCTTCATTTTTCACCAAAAAAATGTTCTTCAAGCTGACATTAAAATATTCCCTGCTTCATCTGGCATGGAAAATGCTGCAATATTTCCTTTAATTGTTCTGGCACCTTATTGCAACGTTGAAAAACATCTTTTTTGTCTTATTTTCAAGTATACTTCCCATAATTCAAAACTGATCTAAACTAGTATTGGAATTATAGGTCAATCTGAAAATAAATAAATTAAAAACCCAAAGCTAGTAAAAGCATACACATCCACATTCACAGAAGATTAATTACTGTAGTTCAGCCTTATTTTAGGTAAAAAGGAACTTTATGACATGCATTAAATACCTCTTCTGTATATCCAGATCCATCTTTTAATAATGTTAATTGCTTCTTTTCCAGTCAGGGATCTTATAGAATGATACTATAACAATTTGAATGTCCCTTCACCAGTTCCTTTGTTTCTGACCTGCTTGGTGGTTTGAAAATTGGCGCAAATAGCTAACACCGGATGTAAAGATTAAGCTGTTCTTGGAAACTTCAACAATTGTAGATAATTCAACCCTAAACATGTCTGTAAATTAATTTCCCATGTGGTTAGATGCAAATGCTATACTTATAAAACACTGTTGCAAGGTACAAAGTCTAA